AAAAAAAAAAAAAAAAAACATATCTTTATTTCTTATTCTCTATATAATACATTTTATTTGTATAGAAAAGATTTTTATAAAAATGAAATAAAATGTATTAAAAAAAAATAGAGCACCACTGGCTGCGGAATCCAATGACTCAAGCAACCAGTGGTCAGGGCTGCAGAGATAGGAATCTGCTCACTATTCGTGCGGTTTCTAAAATAACCGTCTTTTGAATCGGGCCCTTAATCCAACTGTCTAGCGAGAGCTTCTTAAGATGTATTACAGTTATTATTGTGAACGGTAGAACGAGAGATTTTACACCACACCAAACCTATCCCCCCCTGCAACGCCCTAGTTCTCTTCCTAAATGGTCTCTACATGTATTAGGAATTTTAGGAGCCGTATCAAGACGCTCAGTTTTAACTGTACAGTCGAACTGTTCAATTAAAACTATCATTTAGAACCAAGCGTGGATAATACTAAATTTATTTTCATTGTCGTATCTCGTAATTTGTCGAATGATCACTGTTTTCGGGGTAAAATATTTATGTAAATCCCAGATTCTGGATAAACAAAAAGACGCTTGGGACCGTATACGAACTTAGACATAGTTTTCGGCGACGGCTCGAGTCGAAACTTCGACAGGAATTTGATGATGCAAACTTGCACCTGCCATTTAGCAAACCGCATACCTGAAATATAAGAAATAATGAATAAGAAATCTTTAAACATAAGTGTACTGTGTCATATGTAGATAATAAAAACTAGCTGTAAGATAAAGAGAAAAATTTGGAGAACTGACCGCCAACCTTCGCTAGTCGGTGAGGCACCTTAAGAAGAAGAAGTAAGATAAAGGCTTCCAAAAAACAAACGGTTCATAAATACATACAAGTAATTTAGTTAATTTTCATCTTTTCTAGGTAGTTCAAAAAATTTATTTATTTAGACGATAAAATATCATCCAGATTTATACAGTCTTCAAATCTTATCAATAGTTTAGATCCTTTGATTTCGCTGCAATTTGTTACAGATGTAAATAATAGTCTGGAAGAACTTACAGTCTACTTGCTACTAAGTTCTTTTTTATTTGTACAGGAAAGTCGCTGGAAGCAAGTAATTTATGAATACCCACCTAAACAATTTCTGGGACCAGCACCAAAAGGTAAAAAGGCACATGGATGTCTATTTTTCACATTCTCAGGACTAAAGCGTTCGGGGTCAAATTTTTCTGGATCTGGATAATATTTTGGATCATGGTGAATACCAAAACCAGACATTATAACTGTTTGTCCCTTCTTGAGAGTAACGTTGGTACCCGGAACTGCATAATCAGCTTTGACATTACGATTCAAAAGATCCGCCACTGGGTATTTCCTTAATGTTTCATGAAACACTTGGATTAGATATGTCATATCACGCAAAGTATCATATGTTATTTCACCGTTGTGACGTAAAAGAACTTCATCAACTTCTGCAATAACTTTATCTTGTATATCAGGATTCTTCGCTAATTCATACAACATGTACGCCATAGTTGAAGCGCTAGTCTCATAGCCTGCTGCGTAAAATACAAAAGTCTGCGCTGCGATTACACTGTCGGTCAATTCAAGAGCAGTCACATCTACATCATCATGTTTCTTTACTACTTCAATAGATTTCTTTTGTCTTAACTCTAAAATTAAATCCATAAAATCTTTTCTATTTGATGGTATTCCACCTCTCTGTTGAATCACACTTTTTGTTAGATTGTCAAAAAACGGACCTATCGTTTTTGAAAAGATCGATCCATTGAACTTTTTCAAAATTCCAGGATACATCATATCCAATTCGAATCCGTAATTAGAGTTGAATATAACACCGTCCATTTTTTCTAATGTTTGATATAATTCTTCGTCCAGTTCCATACCGAAAGCGCAAGCGGTTATCGAAGCCATTGTAAACTTTCGAACTAATGGGATAATATGTTGCTCTGGTTGTATTTCAGATATCTTCTCTACATTTCTAATAAACTTATCGCCTCTATCAGACATTAGATACAGCATGTTTTTCAGCTTGCCCGAAGTAAACAGAGGTGTGAAACGTTGTCTCAAGACTCTCCATCTATCACCATCCGCATGAAATATATTAAGACCTAACCCTTTTTCACTAAATTCGATTCCTCTGTCACTAAATAATTCGAAATCTTTTATCATAACATGCTTTATAACATCCAAGTCGCGCAGGAAGAGGCATGGCGTCGTCATTCTATAAATTCCAACGACCTTCTCTTCTGGATACGCTTCGTAAATATCTTTGTAGATCATTATCAAATGTTTTCTTCTTACCACAGATTCCATGATATTTCCAAAAAATGCAACCGGTTTAGGTCCCACAACATTTCTTTCTTTCCAGTAGTTAAAATTCCTCGTAAAATAAAGATATAAAAACACAAATAAAGTTGTAGTTATTAAAAGAAAGGTTAACATTTTGTACCGTCACAGCGCACCGTCTTTAATAAATGTCGACAAAAATTGTAAACGCTCTTATGTATATATACCTAAGGAACAGATTATGCAAAGTCACCGCAATAATAATAACTGTATCTTAACTATACGTAAAATAATAATAATAATATTACGACAACTTAAGCACGCGACTTCCGCGTCAAGAATTAATTTTCATACTACGATATCTTTGATTGCATTTAAGATTATTTCTTCTAATTTTAAAGTACACAATTTCTAGAACTAGTCTCCAGTTAAATCGAAATCAGAAGATGTTTCTTGAATTTTATAAAAAAAATTATTTGTCTATCAACATCATTTATTTCTGCAATTTTATTAAAAAAGTACACCGTTTTCGCTTCACGTATTTTTATTTAAGACTTTTTCTTAACATTGTATTTCTTTTATTTAAGATTGTTCGTTAATAAAAATTACCATAACATTAAAAAAACACTCCTTTATACCAAGTTTAATTTTTATATAATACCATTCTAATTGCTCGTTTTCAATTAAACAGAAATCACTATTAAAATTTGAAATTCTGTTCCGTTGTTGATACATCGGTCATACAGATTTTCCTTTTATATATGTAGTAAGAATTTGTTTGGTAATTATAGCGGACTGCTATCTCATATGATTTTCATGTACATATACAGGATGTCCGCAAATAATTTCAATTCTAACAAAAATGTAATTGCTAGAAAACTACAGGGAGCTATGGGATTTATAAAAACGATTGGATTTAGGACTGGACGGACGGGACTTAGGAAAACGAAACTCGAAAAATGATACTACTATTTTAAAAATATTTTCTTTGTAATGAACAAAAAAAAGTGAATTTGATTTGTAATCATACTAATATTATAAATGGGAAAGTTTAGATGGATGGATGTTAGAGTTTGTCTAAACTGCTAAACAGATTTCGATGAAATTTGGTTCAGATAGGATAGTCTGGACGAACACATAGGCTACTCACT